TACTCATTTAATTGCAAAGGGGAAAAGGTTTTTGTCGAACCCACCTCAACTGCATCAGACATAACGGCCGCAGCGTTCTATAAGAAAGCAGTGGACAAGGCTTTTGAAAATAAAAACGCTGACTGGGACATGTTCATCCGCTTCCTACTGGGTCTCTCTCTGGAAACCAATCAGCGTCTTCTTCAAGGGCTCCTGAATACAGCCAAAAATAACACAGAGGCGAATAAAGAGACTGCTGATTACATCAAAGAGAAGATCAGAGAGAACACCAGTGACCCTGATAAAAACCTTAATCTTTTCTACTGTCTTAATGAGCTAAATGACCTCACCCTTGTTCAAGAAATAAAAAATTATCTTCATTCAGAGAAAAAACCGTTTGAAAATTTCACTGCCTCTCAGTGGTCAGCTTTGACCTTTGTACTGCTGACATCAGATGAGAACCTTGAGGTATTTGATCTCAAGAAGTACCTGAAATCAGAGAAAGTTCTTTTGGGAATGATGCCAGTGGTCAGAGTCTCCACCACTACATTGTAAGTATTTTACAAAAACTCTCAGCTTGTCTGTTCATCCTTCCGTCAGTATCCATCCATATCTTTTAGGGGTGGAACAGTTCACAAAATCCACAGTTCGGTTCGGTTCACGGTTTCATGGTTACGGTTTTCGGTTCGGTATATGTTGATTTTTAGCCTGACATGTTGGTTGTGTTGCTGTTAGCATAAACAAAATGTGTTGCACAATGCTTGCACACTGTTGCACTTTTATCCACAACTTTCTTTCCACCGTCACCCATACAGCAGACCTATAAAGTGCTGCTGGCGCGTCTTCCAGCCATTTTACCGACAGGCTGTCGGTAAAATGGCGAATACGTCCTTCTGAAAAATGAATGAGCTTTGCCTCTTCCTGCTCATGTTCAACTAAAACCGCAAGTCTAATCCTTCCAAAACTGATTCCAAAGCTGAGTCAAAACTCACCTTCAGAGCCAGCGGTCCTTCACACCCGACTATGCTGAGAGAGGGCCGCTGCAGACGGGCTGCGGTTAGCCCTGGCTGCAGTTAGCCTCAGAGGTCCGCTGGTTGCCGCCGGCCTCTCAACTTCGGAAATGTTTTTTAATTATGCATTAAATTGGTAAATGGACCATATAAAACATACTTTTATTGAACAACAGCAACAGAAAGAGAACTTTTAACTTTGAATGGAGCACTCTATTGAAAGCTGCTGCTGCAGCAGTCCAGGCTACTGTTGTTTTTTCTCCAGCGTCGTGCAGTTTGTCGTCACGCCCTCAAGACCCCGCCCGCTTTGCATCGAAAAATCCAAAACACATCTCTGCTTTGTGATTGGCCCGTCAATTGTAGGGCCTGGGGCATTGATCAAGGCTAGACCATGATGATTTTGGCCGCTGGCGGGTGGGGCTAGTTTACTAGGCTATAGGTGAGTCACATGACCTGAAAACTTTTGAAGAATCACAATGTTTTAATAAAAAAAAACATGAAAAGGCCTAAAAGGAAATAAAAATGAGTGTGATTATTCTGTTCAGTCTAGTAGAATAATTTCTCACATAGTTTGAGTCAATGGGTCACACATGACCTGGCAGCTAATAGAAAGTAATACTAAATTTTAACAAAAAAAAGTTATATGAAAAAGAAAAAATGATTTTAAAGGAGTTTTTCTCATTTAAACAATCTAGCTCTGGCTCTTCAAATCCTTGAAGTATCAGGTACACAATATAGTACACAATGTAATATAAGTATAATTACATTATTTAAAATGAAAGTTTAGATATTTTAAAGTAAATAGTGTATGTTAGATATAAGAGATGAGGCATTTACAAGTGAAAAAGTTTGAGCCTTGGTTCTTTAAAAAAAAAATGTATCATTCATTTTAGGAGAGAATAACATGGCTTAGTGTAATTGCATTTTAATTAATTTTCTAGATTGCCATGTTCTGTAGAGATTGATTTTGTCTTTCTTACAGGCTGAGCTGGTGTGAGCTCTCTGAAAAATCTTGCCATGGCCTGACATCATCAGTGCTCAGCTATCCATCATCAAATCTAACTTTGTTGGACCTCAGTCATAATGACCTGCTGGATGGTGGAGTGATACAACTTGCTGATGGGCTGAAGCATAGAAACTGTAAACTTGAAATTCTCAAGTAAGTTTACCAACATTTATTTAATGGAAAACAAAAAGAGTTAAGACTCGGGTTTCACAACCCCTTGTCAGTCTATTGGTTTGACTTCTAAAAAATGTCTAGGAATATTTTTAAGCCCTCCACAAAACTTAAACATAGTATTACTTTTCTGTGGTATAATCATATCAGACATGTGAATACACTTGTTTAGCCACATCGTTTTGAAGTTATATACCCTCTATTCAAACAGTATAAAGAAGATTCAGGTTCACACCTCAAAAAATAAGAATGTTTGGAAAACAAATGTTTTTCTCCCATTGCAGGTCAGCAACATTTTTGGCATAGCTGTATTATAGAAACATTTTAAACTTTTTTTTCTTTAAGTTATGTAAATCATAGATTGAAAACTACGAAAAGCTAATATTTAGGGTCTCAGAAAAATATATTATTGCCAAACATCAATAAAGGATATTTTAAGCAAAAAACTATTAGACTTAGGAAAAGTACTTTTGATCTATGCACTGAACCATTTGCCCAGCCGAGGGTTTTATAGTGTTATTATTGGAACAATGCAAGAGTTAATAGTCATGAAAACTAACTTCACAACAAGCAAACTGAGATAGATGATGATGATAGCTAAGTGTAAATTCCATTTAGGCACCAAGGTCCCAGAGTCAGAAGGAGTGAAGAGAAAAATAATCCACATTATTTAAAGCCCAATGGGAGGACTCCACAGTCAGTGTTTCAAACAATGAAGCATCAAAGCAAGCATGATTACATGCAGTATTTTTTTTACACTTTTTTATATCAAACTTTTGCTGTTTAAAATG